TTACTCTTGTTGCCCAGGTTGGAGTGCAATGGTGTGATCTTGGCTCACTGCAACCTCCACCTCCCGGGTTCAAGCGATTCTCCTGCCTCAGCCTCCCAAGTAGCTGGGTTTCCAGGTGCCCACCACCATGCCCAGCTAATTTTGTATTTTTTTTTAGTAGAAACAAGATTTTTGCCATGTCGGTCAGGCTGGTCTCGAGCTCCTGACCTCAGGTGATCCATCCACCTCGTCCTCCCAAAGTGATTGAATTATAGGCATGAGCCACCACGCCTGACCAGCCTACTCTTTCAGATGTTACCTCATGTAGTCTTCCTCATTTCTGCGAAGGAGGTGGTTTTATCTCCATTTTACAGATGCAAACATCGAGGCTTCGGGAACTCAGGTATCATGCCCAAGGTCACACAGCCACTAATGAATAGAGCAAAGATTTGGAGGCAGGTCTGTTTTCTACCACATCTCTTTTTTTTTTTCTCTTTTCTACTGTGTGGTGCTTTGGTTCAGTACATGTTTATTAAACGATGAATGTGGTTGAATATGTTTAAAGGCCATGGAAACAAATTCTGTGGGTAAGAATTTCCGAAATTGCATGAGATTTTAGGCCACCATCTGGAGGTACCATCTGTACAATTTTTTGTTAACCTTAGGGCCACAGTTATGCAGAAGATATGTATGAATTAACCAGAAAATGTCATATTGGCATAGCCTTAGGGATATTTCAGTGGAACTATCCCAGAATCCTTGGTCCTTGCTACATAAGTACTTCTTTTAGAATAAGGTGAGAATATTGCTGTGTCTCCTGAGCTCTTTATATATCGCCTGGTGGATAACACATTTTAAGATCTATAGATATTTTCCTAAGTAACTGAATTTTAACTCATCTTCACAGAGAAACACGTTCCAGGCCGTTCTAGCCTCTTCTGATTCCAGCTCCTACGCCATTTTCCTTTATCCCGAAGATGGTCTGCAGTTCCATACTACATTCTCAAAGAAGGAAAACAACCAAGTCCCTGCTGTGCTTGCATTCAGTCAAGGTTCAGTGGGATACTTGTGGAAGAGCAATGGAGCTTATAATATATTTGCTAATGACAGAGAATCCATTGAAAATTTGGCCAAGTATGCTTTGTTTGTTCTTCAGTAGACTCTCAATAATATTTTTTAATGAGGATAATGTAATGGGTATTAAAGATAGTTACCTAAACATGTTCCTATGGATTTAAGTTTTACATATAGTTTTTATATTATTAAGTACTCTTTTTCTGATGAACTTAAGGGAATATATTCTTAGAATGAACAGTTATCCTGTTTTTTAGATATCATCCTCATTTAAAACAGTTTTTTTTGGTGGGGGGGGGGACGGAGTCTCACTCTTGCCCAGGCTGGAGTGCAGTGGCGCCATCTCGGCTCACTGCAGCCTCCGCCTCCCAGATTCAAGTGATTCTCTTGCCTCAGCTTCCAGAGTAGCTGGGATCACAGGTGCACGCCACCATGCCCAGCTAATTTTTGTATTTTAGACAAATTGATTAGATGGGGTGTCACCATGTTGGCCAGGCTGGTCTTGAACTCCCAACTTCAGGCGATCTGCCCACCTTGGCCTCCCAGAGTGCTGGTGTGAGCCACTGTACCCAGCCTTAAAACAGTTTTTACCATTTTTTCTTTAAGTTCAGTTAGAAATAAAGGTTATTCAAACCTATCTCCTTCTTTGATCTCAAGGCTGAGAAAACCTTTTCCTTCACATTGACTAGGGGGAAAATTCTTGCAACAGAAATAGTGCTCTCAGGCTATGTTGTAGAATTTGGCAAAAGGGGGAAAAGCTCAAATTGGTTTTTGAAAGTTAAAACCTTTCCTCTCCCATTATTCTTTAAAAACCAGGAGTGAATCCCCTAAAACCACCTTTGAATTTTATATCAACAAATCTAGCTTGAGATTCCTCTGCCCTTCACTTATCAGAGTGCTAGTAAATACTTAACAACTGTTTTGTGAGGGCAGGGGGAGCCCTGATTGATAGCATTTGCCTATTTCTGTGATGTAAATACTCCTACCATGGCCAATTTCAAGTTATTAACATCATGTCACTCAATGAAGAATTCAGAAAATATGCGCCATTGTATATATTCTCACCATAAAGATACAATAGATTTAATATATATAATTTCAAGAGCATGGATAGTATTAAGAGAATTAGCATATGATGAGTTTTGGATATTTTTTCCTTTTAAAAAATGTAACTTGTTTAATTAAAAGCTCATGTACTTTAATTAATTGTTAATTTAATTTAATTGTTTAGAATGGCTATGTTTGATAACTGGCTTGCAAAATTCCTAAAATTTTACCAGCTAGCTCTCACAGGCTGGTACAAATAAGCTCCCATACATCACTGTGTTTACTTGAATCCTGGGTTTTCATGACATACTCCTCAGATTTGATAATTTGCTAGAATGGCTCACATAACACAGAAAAATGCTTTCCTATTACCAGTTCGTTCTAAACGCCACAACTCAGGAACAACCAAATGGAAGAGAGAAGTAGGACAAGGTATGGGGAAGAGGGCAGGGATTCCATATCCTCTCTGGGAAAACCACCCTTCCAGTGCCTTGATGTGTTCAACCCAGAAGCTCTCTGAACCCATGATTTCAGGATTTTTATGGTGGTTTCATTACATAGGCTTGGTTGATTAAATCACTGATCATTGGTGATTGACTCAATCTCCAGCCCATCTCTTCTCCCTGGAGGCAACGGAGAGAGCTGAACATTCCAACCCTCTAATCGCGCCTTGGTCTTTCTGGCCACCAGCCTCGGTCCTGAAACTGTCTAGGAGCCTCCAGCCATCAGTTAACTCATTAGTGTACAAAAGACACTCTTATCACTCCAGAAATTCCGAGGGCTTTAGGAGCTCTTGTTTCAGAACCCGAGGACAGAGACCAAATATATATTTTCTATTGTATCAGACTGTGCCATGGAAAGAGATAGTGGAGAACATGAATCACTTCAGTCCTAAAGCTACCGTCAGTCCTATGAGCCACCTTAGCTCGTAAGGTAGGGCATGTAACCAGCAATTAGGATGAGTAAGTTGATTTTTAAGTCCTGACAATGTCCCTGGAGCCAGCTCTGGAATGGCTGGGACTGAGCTTATGCTGTATTGTGCCCATTTGGACACAGTCTCACCAGACAGCCCTAGACTATCTCAGCCTCATGATGCCCCGACACGGTGGCCAGTGCTCTGTCCACTCTCCAGTCCTTGCTGCAGGTGATGGGTTGCAGACCAATGCAGATCCCCAGGGCTCCCTCTGCTTGGGTAGTGGTGGCTGTTGGTGGGTTGCTGACCTGTTTCTAAGAAGCCTGTCCTTCTTCCTAGGAGTAGCAACTCTGGGCAGCAGGGTGTCTGGGTGTTTGAGATCGGGAGTCCAGCCACCACCAGTGGCGTGGTGCCCGCGGACGTGATACTCGGAACCGAAGATGGGGCGGAGTATGATGATGAGGATGAAGATTATGTCCTGATGACCACTCGTTCAGGCCTGGAGGATGTGGGCACCACGCCCTTCCCCTACAAGGCTCTGAGAAAGGGAGGTGCTGACACATACAGTGTGCCCAGCATTCTCTCCCCGCGCTGGGCAGCTACTGAAAAGCCCCTTGGACCTCCCACGGAGAGGACCAGGTCTTTCCAGTTGGCAGTGGAGACTTTTCACCAGCAGCACCCGCAGGTCCTAGATGTGGATGAAGTTGAGGAAACAGGAGTTGGTAAGACCATTTAAGCTGCAGTTGGTAACGTTCTTGGGCGTGTGGGCTCCCAGACAGGCATATTGCTGGGGAGATGTCAGCTGTGAGCATTATATGGTGGTTTGTAAGGATAAGAGCTTGGGAAAGTAGAGGCTGAACTCCCACAGCCGGGGAGCTTTGGTATTAAATGCCCGATAGCTTCAGAGATGCTCATTGATCTTTTGGGATTAGGACTGTGGTTTTGGAGACTGTTGAGTGTGTCTTCTTTCAAGTTTCCTAGTATTCCATTCTGTCTGTTTTAGAGAGAAAACATGCTTTAGAATTATTTTGAAAGTCAGATTTTCTTGTAATTTCTCAGACCAGAAATGTATTCATCCACCTGAAAAAACATTTTAGAAGTTCTTTGGCTGTTTATGAAGCTTATCTTTGACATTTACTTCCTCTTGGTTTTGGAATTAGAATTGTTGATTATTTTTCTTCCCAGATCCCATCAGTTTCAGAGTTGGTTTGTGGAGATTAAAAAAAGAAAAAAGGAAAAGAAAAGAAAACCACACAGTATAAGAAGATACTCATTAAAAAAAGATAGGACTGGGTGCGGTGGCTCACGCCTGTAATCCCAGCACTTTGGGAGACCAGGGCAGGCGGATCACAAGGTCAAGAGATCAAGATCATCCTGGCCAACATGGTGAAACCCCATCTCTACTAAAAATACAAAAATTAGCTAGGCGTAATGCACACGCCTGTGGTCCCAGCTACTCTGGAGACTGAGGCAGTAGAATTGCTTGAACCTGGGAGGCGGAGGTAGCAGTGAGCTGAGATTGTGCCACTGCACTCCAGCCTGGCAACAGAGCAAGACTACTTCTCAAAACAAAAAAAAAGTTTTACAGTACACTTTCTGGTCAACTATTTTTAAGGGAAAACAGAACTCCTGGATGCTTTCGTTTGTCTTATAAAAGATGTTCCGGCTGGGTGTGGTGGCTCATTTCTGTGATTCCAGCAATTTGGGAGGCCAAGGTGGGTGGATCACCTGAGGTCAGGAGTTCGAGACCTTCCTGGCCAACATGGAGAAATCCCGTCTCTACTAAAAATACAAAAAAATTAGCCGGGCGTGGTGGCAGACACCTGTAATTCCAGCTACTCAGGAGGCTGAGGCAGGAGAATCGCTTGAACCTGGGAGATGGGAGGTTGCAGTGAGCTGAGATCGCATCACTACACTCCAGCCTCCTAGATTTGCACCCAGAATGCATCTAAAACAGATGTTTTTCTGTCCCTCTGCCAGTTATTTCCCTGTGTTTATGAGAAAGATCAGTCTTCTGTGGCCAGTAGTGCATTCCTGATGTTATCTGAATAGTTCACATATACACAGGCCATAATGACCCCCCGAGTGGAGGTCATTACGGCCTGCTGGAGTTTAAGCAATCAATAGCATCACGTGTTCAGTTCAGGGCTCAAGCGTTCTCCGCTCCAAACGCTGTCTTTATAAAGCCGGAAATTCCCTTCCCAGTATGTAGGACTCAGAGTCTGCCTGGGCTCAAACTCTGCTTTTATCTTCACTCATAACAGTCAATCATAAATAGGATCATTATCCTCTCTAAAAGTTCACCCCTCTTGTGCTTTTGAAGTTCATTCCAAATTAATTTGCCCTGGATTATTAAATATAATGAGCTAGTTCATGATTCTAGTAAAATGAA